AGCATGGAAAAGAAAGGCAAAGGGTGCACAATGAATACTGAAACATTTGATGTTATATTTAGTTGTTGATGCTTCTGTGTAATTTTCTGTAAGTCTATGTGTTCTGCTTTGTTACTGATTCTCATGTATAACGTACTTCATGGCCGGACTGGAAATTTACTAAATGAAAGTGGTCTCTGACTTTTGCACAGCACCGTATGTGCTGTCTTAACTCAGAAATTCCAAATGTATGTGAAGACACATTATACATATATTTACATATATTTAAAATTTCCCATACAGAAAATATGTACACGTATTTCATTATATCTAAAACATACATGCATTGTAGATCCCTTGTCTGATTCAGCACCTGAGTGATTAACTATGCTAGTTCCTGCAGTCTTTGGCACTGAGTCATAATAACATGAAATATTCACAGACTTTCAGGTGAAAGTAAGCAATCAAGTTTTCGAGTGCTTCTCTAAGAGCCGTAATACCAGATGTCAGCTTCACACAGGTATCAGAGGAGACTGGTACTCTTATCAGACTCTGATAAGATGCTTAGGCCGCAATTTTTCAACAGTCATCCTGGCTACTCAGCCATGACTGCTTATGCTGTGGTGTGGGGCAATGGGGGGCTTGGACGCAGGAAAGACAATACAAATTAGTCTTGAGCTTGGATTTGCTTTATTCATTCAAGGTTTCCTATTAAAATCACTCATCTACATACATTTACACTATGTGCGAGAAGTCCAAAGTGCACTAAGGTTCAGTGTGGATGCACAATCAATCCCAACATAAAAATCAATTACTGCATTTCTATTGTTGGTCCCTCACACTGTTCAAACATTTTCCCTCATTTAAAGGACCCATATCCTACATTTTTCTTGTTTTTTTGTGTGGGAGTCTCTTATAACATTTGTGTATGTTTATGTATCAAAAAGAGTCATAATTCATTTCCATATGGCCATTTTCCAACCTCTCTTTACTCCTTCGAATTAAACAGGTTGTTCCAGTTAGTGTGCCTGTAATGGGCTGATATCATGGAAAAACTAATTTATTTTGCTTTATTCAAATAGGAAACTTTGATATAGTATGAATCAGATTACTTTAGTTAATTAGTTACTTTATTAGTATCTAAATGTTCCTACCTCTTTTTATCCCTAGAATTAAACTGGCATTTTTTTTTTCTGTGCCTTTAAGACTGACTCATGTAAATGAGCTCTGTTCTGTTTTGACTGCCCTTCATTCAAAAAGCAGTAATAGCTGAAACACAACTAGAACTGTAAACATTGTTAACGCTTCAAAACCTACTGTTTACTACCCAGTACATATATGGGAAATAAGCTGCAGAAACTGTTTTGATTTAATTGTTTTTGTGATGCCACACCAGCGCATTTACATTTGCATGCTTTTTCAGTCTGCAGTAGGGCTGGAAAATACAACAACATTAATCTTTATTGTTACAAATTGTGTCACAATATGTCACAATATACTTTTCCAAACATATTGTGGATACTACAGTACTTAAAGAACACTTCCCAACTGCATGTTTTATTACAGAGATCATAATTAGCCCTGTTTAACTGAATTTAGTGCAGCACAGTATGTGAAATATGGAATACAATCGTGTATCATGAACTTCTTTAAGTATCGTAATATTACATTTTCACCATATCAGCCTAGACTGCTTTTTGAAAGAGGTACAATACAGGGCAGCCAATCATAACAGAGATAATTTACATATGTAAAACTTAAAGGCACAAGCACAAAAAGCATTTTTTTTCCTGAGCAGGAAAAAAAAATTAAGAAAAATGTAGGATATGGGCCCTTTAAAAGCTGAAAAATGTATATGGCCTCAGCTCTCATTGGCTGCCTCATATTGTATCTCATTCAAAATGCAGTCCAAGCTAAAACCCTCCCTATACCTTCAGTGTGAATGGGCAGGGATAAACTGCTGTAGGCTGAATAGACAGATATATGTTAATAGGCTTTTTTGACATCTCAAAAAGAACTTAAAATGGGCAGTTTTGCAGCTTAGTTTCCATATATGGGCAGTATGGGCTTGGAAGTGACCGATACATTACCTGACAACCTTCACGTTATTTATTTCCTCCTAGCACTGCACTAGCAACCTGTGTGTAATCATATGATCGAGTCAGTAAGCCCGAGCAAACACTAAGGGTGAAGTGACTACATCATCTCAACAGCAGAACATGAAAAAAGACAAGTATGGCCAGTTCCCTTAATTTCTCAGCATCTGTTCACAGTAACTTAACATAACATGCATAACATTCACAATCTTTCTATATCAGCTGGCAAGAGCTCATGGAAACACTTTTAATGTTCCTGTGCAAGGCATATGTGTCTCTTTAAATATTTTGAGATATTTAAAATGATAAAAATATAAGTGATACTTTTCAATCACAGCAGATCTAGACTCGCAGTTTAAAGTAAATCTTCATAGAAGCAAAAGAGAAGTGTACAGGCAGTGTGGTAGGTCTCTTCTTTCTGTGTG